CCTCGGTGTGGTGGCTGCAGTGTGTGTGTACGTGTGTGTGTGTGTGTGTGTGTGTGTGTGTGTGATGCACGTCCTCAGTGTGGTGGCTACAGCGTGTGTGTATATGTGCTGTAGAACGTGTGAGACCTAACAGTGAGAGAATGGGGATGATGAGAAAAAAGGAACACTTTTGAAAGAGTGGAAGAAAAATGTACAACACAATAGAAAACTGTAAAAAAAAAAAACAAAACACGCTGCTTTATTGATTTGATTAGGACTAGTAGAAACCCAAAGCCTTGACCCTCAGATACCTTTCAGGCCTGGAACAGGTCTCACTCTTTTAGCCAAAAAATAGACAAGCCTGTAAGGTAAACAGTAACACCAGGGAGACACACACTTCTTGGGATAGTGAGTCATACAAGATCAAAGGGGCCTGCAAGGAAAAGAGAACTGAAACACAAACGGAGATTTGTATACCACTGTTTGTAACAGTGTTATTCGCATAGCAAGAACATGGAAACAGCCTAAATGTCCATCAGCTAATGAATGGACTGAGTAATTGTGACGCATTCACACAATAGAATACGATGCAACACTCTGGAACAATAATTTTGAAAAATACTATATAATTCGGTTTCATAAAGAAAAGTACTGCATAAGACCATTATTGTAAGAATAGAAAGTTATCTACTAAGATATGTGCAAAAGTCCAAAGGTGGAAGGGCAGGAAGGAGGGAGGCTGAGGGAAACCTTGAGGGCACAGAGTTATGTGGGCAGAGTGATGGGTTGAAAAAATTAGGAGAGATCCAGCGGGGACCCGAAAAAGTGAGGTAATGATGGACAGGGATCAATGGTGATTAATTTTATAAAACAATTATGGAAATGATACTATGAAACATAATATGAACAGAGGAATGTGAAGCACAATGTATATAAAACAAAATACAGTGTATATGAATTTAATATGCAAACCAATATAAAATAAATTTTTAAAAAAAGATTAAAGAGTCAGCGTTTGCCCAGAGATAAAGCTCAAAGGCAGGAAATAAGGATGAACAGAGCCAGTAAATGCAGGGAGGAAATTGGGAGAGTGCTGCCATCAATATCACAAAATATAATGTATATTAATTGTTGAATGGAGGACCAATTTTCTCTGTATGCTTTCATCCAGACTACAATTTAAAAAGAAGAAATCACTGACATTTTCTCATTAGATTATTATACATACTTAGATCATTTACACTTAACGTTATTAGACTTGCCACCAGGTCTCATTATTTAACGTGTCATCACGTTATCATGTGTCATCATGTGTCACACATTGTGCCTTGATGGACAGTCTCCTCCCATAAAGATTTACAGCCTTAGAAATATGCATGGAGGTGAGCTCTGGTGGCCTAGTAGCAAGAAGCTGCACTGTAATCCCAGAGGTGAGCGGTTCGAATCCACCAGATGTTCTGGAAGAGAAGGAGGGACAATCTCCTCCTGTACCTGTTAGATTCGATTTGATGGTATACACATAAAAATAATTGTAAAAAATTTTTTAAAAGAAATATGCATGGATGGTCACTGTGCATCACAGAGTTGCCTCGTTGACAGTGAGGAACCCCAAGTGATACGTGATACACACTGGGTAGTGTTTTTTAGTTTGAATATTTTGAAAATGGTATTTCAACCTAATTAGGTTTCTGTCATCCTTTGGATCTTTTTCATTGAGCTGTAATTCACACACCAAAATATCCATCATTTAAAGTGTACAGTTCAGAGGTCTTTAGTATATTCAGTAGCCTGTGCAGCCATCACCAAGACCTCATTTCAGAACATTCTCCTTACCCCAAAAGGAAGCCTTTCACCCATTAGCAATCACTTCCCATTCCCCTCACCCTCCAGCTCCAGGCAATCGCTTATCTACTTTCAGTCTCGACGGATTTGACTCTTCTAGACATTTCATATAAATAGAATCATACAATAGGTGCCCTTTCAGTCTGGCCTCCTTTCCTTCACCACAGTATTATTCCGTGTATTTTAGTTTATACATTTTAAAAACTTTTTTCTGAGACGGGACCCACGGACCTCAGCAGACCACCAACAGGGCAGGGAGAGAGACGGCAGATACTGGAGACCTAAGGCTCATGAGGCAGAGAAGTGGGTCCCTGTGGACTCTGGAGGCTCTGGGACAACAGGAAACGGCACCTACTCCAGGTCCCAAGAGGTCAGGGTCAGCTGAGAGCAATGCCATCGTGCAGCCCTCCTGTGAGACCTCAGCCTCGATGGACTTCTTCCATACCATGTATAGTGTTCTCTGCACAGCCTCTCCTAACCGACTCTCAGAACCACCGTAAGCTGCAGCCTTCAGCTCTGTCTCAGATTCCCACAGGGAAGCAGGATTTACCCACGGACCTCTGGGAGCTAGCCCTGGGTGGTGGGTTTGCCCTAACCACTTGCCCTCTCCTCTCACATTCAGATCTATGACCTCTAGAAGATCTTCTGTCTCACTCGCTGCCCCTTGGCTACTGGAATGACCAGTAAGAGGAGGGGTGGAGGTCTACTCAGTCAAAGAGTTGCAGCCATTTTCAGCAGCTCTGGAGAGGTAGCAGCACATGGTGCCTGACAGATCTGGGCTGGCGGCCCTGCTGCCCAGGCTCAAGCATGATGGCACCAGAGAGTTCGCATCACCTCATGCATCTAGGCCCCGCTTGGGGACTAGATGGGGTGGATGACATGAGACAGCAAGTAAGACACCCTCAACTGGTCCAGAATGTCCACCCAGCCTGGTCCTGGTACTCAAGATTTCCAGAATGGCACCACACGGATAGTAATTTTCCCCACCGTCTTTTCCCCTGTCACATGCTAGTTGCATACCCCACTTTAGTTGCTAATTTCAGTAGACTTATCATCTTAATTAAGGGAGCTCTGGTGGCCTAGTGGTTAGAATCTGAGCTGCAATCCCAAAGGCATGCAGTTCAAATTCACCAGTTCC